TGGACAAATACTGTATGTCCATAGCTGCATATTGGTTATTTATTCTCCAGCTCATCAGTATTTACATTTTTAAAACACTTTAAAGTACAGTTTTTTTTCTATTTTTTAACTGTTCCCTATTATGTTATTCTTATGAATTTTTCCAAGTTCCACATTAATGTGACAAGTTTTTGAATAATCTTTTTGCTGCTGTAAACACCAGAATTTCCCCATTGTGTGAAATAAAGGGATTTTTCTATTCTATAATATTTAATAGAGATAATCTGAGAAAACATCAAACATGTTTCAAAGTGGATTTTCTTCATTGATGTAAAGAAAACTACAAAATACAGCCTATCAAGAAGAAAATCAGGGTTTTTTTCTGCCAAAAACCAAAAACACATATTTTCAGTTTAAGAGCAACATTTCCTCTACTTGCACTCCTAACTTATTAAATCTGTTTCTCCTCTCAGATCTAATGTTTCTTGCACTAATAGTTTTTTTCCTCTTGTTTACTTCCTTCCCCTCATGTGCAAACCAGTCTCAGCTCGAGTCAGAGATACGCTAGCAAACCCCTTCGGCTCTGCTTGTGGATTTGTTTTCTTGTCTAAATTCTCATAAATAGTGTAAATAATTAATCCAATCATAAAGAAAAATGCAAATATGTACTTAAATTTTTAATTTTGATCAATGCACTCAAGTTCAGTTTATAATTAAAAAAAAAATGTTTTCTGCAGAAACTCAGAAGATTGGATCCAGGATTCCTACAATCACTTCTCCTGTATGAGCCTGTAGCCAGTCGTTAGCTTCGATGAAGATCGAATGTCAATGATGGAAGCGAAAGCGACTCCCAGATGATGTCACATCCTGTCGACAGAGCAGCCAGCTTCTTCTTCTTCCTCTTTGCCATGAGACCCTTGGGTCTGACAGAGTCGACGTTACACTACATTACGTAGCCCGTCACCACCACCCTAGTTGATCAAACCATGTCGAATACAGTGTTTTTTCATCGCCGATCCGCTTTCTGAAGCAGACGAGGAAACCACCCAGTTTCCTCCTGGCCGATTGTTGTTTGGCTAACACGGAACAGCCGGGGCTGTTTCCATAGGACGCAGTTTCTACAAGCTAGCTCTTCCAAAGGACATAAACGGTTGATCATATTGTACCAGTCTAGTGTTGGAGTAGGGCACATGGATAGATGTTACCAGTAAAGAGTTTAGCTGCCTATGCTGGTATTAAATGAAGGCTGGAGAATGGAAGCCCTCTGTGAAACAAAACCAACTCTTTAGGAATGCAGATTTAGTGTGTAATCTAACCTTGGATTGATGCAAAGTAAACTGTTTAGTAAAGCTGAAAATATAAAGCAGTTCAGCTGTGAAAATAAGTGGCGGCAGTATAATTCAATCTCCACCATAACAGAAGATCAATGCATGCAGGTCAAACATTAATAGTTATTTAGGGGATTTCATCTTTGAAGGAAATGTTCGGTCAGAAAGGACTAATCAATGGATCATTTTTTATACCTAAAACTAATATTTTACGGTGATTTAATTATTTTAGCGTCTATCAGTAAAAAGATAAAAACAATCATTTACGTTGCGATCACTGAGTCTGGGAGCGGCCATTTTCCCCCAAATCTAGTAGCCCCTCCCTCCTGCCATCTTCCAGCAGTGACGTCACGGTGCGGTAAGCCTAGCGCCATTCTCCCCGCTTTCC